GGTTAGCGTCACGATTTTTTCCTGGCTTTGCACCAATGAGGCCCGGGTTCGAGTCACGGCCTGGCCCTGGTTTTAAGTGCACTTAGTGTCCAGTCCGTACTCGCTCTCGCAGGTTTTCTCCGGGTACTCCGGTTTCCTCCTGCCTCTAAAACCGGAACTTCTTCCTAACTCCGTAATGTGATGCTGATTAATAAAGTGTATGAATAAACGTACAGTTACCGGCGCAAATAGCTGAGTTGCTGAAAGCGCCATTAAAACAAACAACAACAACAACTCCTGCCGTCTTGTGTCCCGGCCTGACCATTCGTTCTGCGACACCGACCACAAATTGCTGTGCAATCCGATACATGTAACGGGTAACAGAATTGTGTGCGGTTCGAGATACACGTAGTAGCTCTATGCTGTTCCGGCACACATAGCTGTATAGACTTGAATGTATATTGTTTGTATATATCTCAAACAAATTACACATAGAGAATACAGTACATTTGCTCCAATACTGATTGCCCATTTGTAATTAAAATGTAGAAATGAAACTCCTGGGAACTTCATCACGGATGCTGAAAAAAAATCCTTTAGATGCAGTTTACTGATTGGTAGTTTCTTTATTTTTTTNCAAAAGAAACACTCTCTTTCTCCGTAAAATGTGCATGTACACTAAGATATTTTTTTGGATTCTCTTAATCAATGGCTTATTTTCTTTTTTGCCACATTTTTAAATTAATGTTCTGCGTTCATGTTTCATTCTATTTCTCATCTCTTTTTAAGACATTTTCCCCTTAGTGCATTGTGATATAAATAATTTTACTCTACTGATATTCATTCTTTTCATAACAATTCAAACAGAAAGAAACTTCAAATTAGCAAATAAACATTGATCAATCATTATTTTCATAAAGATCTGTATCTGTACCTTTGCATAAATTAGTCCTCCCCTAAAAGAATTAACGTTTATTGAATAACATTGCACGAATCTCATAAATGCTTGCCGATTCTTGAAATTGAACGCCAAAGCACATACCACGAAGTGTCTGCGCGAATTTGAATGCTTTTTGGCGTATTTTCCAAATTGAATGCTGACCCATACTTTCTGAATAAAAAGATTGTGCAGTTATATGCCCTTAGAATGAAAATTGAATGATCAGTTTTGCTCTTTGAATGGTGATCGAGATTGTCAGTCTATTTCGTGCTAATTTGAATGGAACTGTCGCTAATTCGTGTGCAAAGATGATGAATTCGGCTGGGAAAACCTAAATTACGGAATTTACTCAAAAGGTATTTTATGAGATCTCTTGATCACTTCTTGAGATGAAACAGCGCATTTAGTTTTTTTGTGAACTTAAATGTCCTGCAGTGTTGTAGTCGAGTCACCAATATCGAGTCCAAGTCCGGAGTCTCAAGCCTCGTGTCCGAGCCCAAATCTGGAGCCACAAATCTTGAGTCCGAGTAACGAGTCACAAACTTCGAGTCCAAGTCTGAGTCACGAGTCACAAGCCATGAATCAAGTTGTTCAGACAATTATTGTAAGTGTAACAAACGATGGAGGAACATCCATGATTAAAGTTGCAGGTTCATTGTGTGCTATCTGTTTCGCTCAATATATTAATTACATACATTGCAAAAGCTATGGGTACTTTTTGCTTATCCACCATTTAAACTTTAAATTTCATTATTTTCGTTTGTTTCATTGTTTAGAGAATGAAGTGCTGGGCTGGTTTTAAAGTACATTGAAAACAAGCTCAGGAGAATGCGTGAGCCGAGGATGAGGGTATTCAAAAACCTTTTATAGTCACGCCCAGCGCAGGCCACGCATCTTTTATAGTCACGCAAACCTGTCCATATTGCGAATAGGGTTCATCTTCGCGACTGGTTGTGGAGACTATGAGGCTAAATATGTACGTCCGTACTTGCGTGTAAATAGACTTGAAATCAAGTCGTTAGTCGGTCGTGTTTGTCGTCCATTCTCTGCGTTATTTTTACAATTAGTGCAGAGCGCGTTCACTGTTGCCCGCTATCTATGCATCATGCCACACCGATTTGCTCGTGGGCTGTTCAGTTCCGGGTTTCGGCGCACGTCGGCCCACGACCCTTGTGGCCGCCTAACGACTTGATCGGCCTGATTCTGAATAGACATTAATGTGTGCAAAAACTGAACTGCAACAATTATTTTTTTCAATAAGAGAATCGATGTTTTTATGGAGAATCATCTTTTTAGGATAATGTATACACCCTCTTCAATGAACGAGACTGTGGTTGTTAATAAGCGTTCAACTGACCAATCAAACTGCCCCTGAAATGAATATTCATATTATTGGGATTCTTAGCCAATCGGAGTGCTTCGTCCAATTTTGGTAGCAAAAGGGCTTGCAAATTGTTCAAGTCGGTAATCTGCTCCGAGCGGAACAAAATAGGGCGTTTGGGGGGATACTCACCGTATAGACGCGCCATGAGGCGCGCAAGTATAATGCGCGTTTGACGTCGAGCACGCTGAGTACGCGTAACTAAATTATTCCGGCATGTATGGTCTTTGCCTACACACAGAACACGTGCAAGAACCCACTTGGGACGACCCATGACTAGAGTCACAAGTCACCAAGCTCAAGTCCGAGTTATCGTGGTCGAGTATGAGTCATTATCTAATGTGACTCAACTCGAGTCCGAGTCCTGTACTCAAGTTATACATCACTGCTGTCCCGTGGTGGTCAATGTGTTGCAGTCTTAGTCAAATTCGTACAAAAACTTTGAAAACTTATGCTTTGGAGTTACAAAATCTAATTACAAACATTGCATGGTAAATGGAAAAGTGAATCCAAATCCCAAAATAAAACAATTCGCTACGGCAAAAGTAAATCTAATGTTAGACTTTTTTTCTATTTCCTGGTCACTGCGATAAGTTGTAGTTTATTGCAGAGAAAACAACACAAACATTGCTATGATATTACTGGCCCAACTTGTCCATTCAGTAATCAGGCATTTTTGGAATGTTTACCATTGTTCGTCTAACCAGACTGCGTTGATCATCAAGCACTTTGATGTGCCAGTTATAACATTTTCTGTGTCCTTCCTCCATGGTTTGATTTCGGGGATCTTTGGTTTCCTTCGTTGAGTAGATAAGTCTCCTTTTTTCCCCAAAAATTCAGTTAGTTTCTATTTGTTCTTGTTCAAGCACATTACTTTCAGCTCCAGCCCCTAGCGCCATTCGTCAAACTTGTCTTTATGCCGTTAATTTTGATACGTAGTCACGTAATTTATGTGGGGCCACGCCCTAATGCATAATCAGCCATATTCGCCTTTCTTTATTTGCAATTGTAACCGTAAGTGTTGAGTTATTCTTATCATCTGGAGGGGCCCCCTTTGGAACTCCTGCGCAACTGTGTGCAGTTTTTGTTCATGAACACCTTCTTTTTTTATCCTTTGGTAAATTATTTTTTATTGTTGCTGCCCATTTGGGGTCACCCCACTTCCAGGTTTCCTTACTGCTCCGTCCGTTACAATACGCACCGCTAATTAGTCCACGCATACATTAACCCTTCGAAGAGTGTATATTAGACTGGCATCCATGCCTACCCCTGTTTCACCGCATTATTAAGCCCCGCCCAATTATATTTCATGATTTGGGCTGTGAGCGGGACATTAATGGTTTTGGTGTGTTTTGTTTGCTTCTTTGTTTGTATGTTTGTTTGTTTGATACTGACGTATTTTATTCCAAGTGCTGTGCTGCTGCTTGGCTTGAAATAATTAAATATCAATTTCTTAAAATTATTTATTTTCTGGTCGGTATTTTGGAACATTATTGTGTATCAAATATGTCAGAAATCCAACAAATGTATACAGAGGTATTTACAGAATTAAAACAACGACAAATGCTGCATGTTTCATTTTTTCCATAAGACTTCTTTTCGATCAAGCAAGACATGCTCATTGAAATCATTCGTACAACAAAATAATTCAGTACGCATGACAAGTATCTAACAGGGACTGTGGAATGAAAGCAGTGTACAAGGTGTCTCGTAGATGGTGCAAGTTGATGTCATACAGATACATGCTGTGTCTGGATGGGTTCATTGTCCTAAACAAACTCCAACGGTTGACCCCCCAAAAATCAATCCGTAATGGCCAATCTTACTGCCACCACGGTTAATACAAGAGGTTCAAACAGCAAAGACCGTGAAAAAGTTTCAATATTACACACAAGGAATATGAAACAGTATTACTAAACAGCTTAAGCGTTTTAGACAGAACTTCAAAAATCATATTAAGGAACTTTTTTCGTGGGAGTGAATTTCAAAAGGCACTTCCCACCTGCCCAACTTTTCTGTTTCAATAAGTGTCTCCTCAGGGGCTCCGTAATTAGAGGCTACCAAGCTAAACGCGCCTGACGTGGCCAGAAACAATTTAGTCAATGGTGCAGCCAGACTGAGGTATCATTGTTTTTGGGTATCGCACATTCGATTTTCCCGTATACAGTTTATCCCCTTTGGTAAATATTTCGAACCAAACATGAAACACAGTAGAGCCGCTAGTTGGGTTGAATCTGGTGATTTTTTTTCCGGAAAAGCTATATCGAAGACGCCGTTCGACACCAAGGAGGGCCGAGC